ATAATTTGTGCTATTAATATTTCAAGTAAATATTATTAATAGGTATTGTTAAAGAAAATTTTTTGATTATATTTGTAACGCGTCTTTAATCTATACTAATATTATAAAGCTGAAGAGTTTGTTTGTTTGAACGCGCTAATCTCAGGAACTACTGGTCCGATTTGAAAAATTCTTTCAGTGTTAGATAGCCGATGGAGGATATGTACGATGACATATCGAGGGCCCCCCACTTCACAACTAAGACCCACTACAACGTTGTTATGGGTGACTTCAACGCTAAAGTGGGAGTACAGAATTGCAGCGAATCGGTAGTAGGATCCCATGGATTTGGAAGCAGGAATCATAGGGGGCAAATGCTGGTCAACTTCCTCGAACGGGAGGGGCTGTTTTTGATGAATTCTTTCTTCAAGAAACGGCCCCAAAGGAAGTGGACGTGGCAAAGCCCCGACGCTATGACTAGAAATGAGATCGATTTCATCATGACGGATAGAAAGCACATATTCAGAGACGTCTCAGTGATCAATAGGTTTAATACCGGTAGTGATCACCGACTTGTCCGGGGCTCTCTGAATATCAACTTTAAGGCGGAACGTGTATGTTTGATGAAATCCAGGCTCCGACCAACTCGGCTCCAAGCCATGACAGGATCTGAAACGTTCCAGTCAAAACTGGCAAACCGATTCGCTGCCGTGGAAACCACAATCGACGTAAACCAGAACCTCAAAAATGTGGTTCAGATCCTCAGGGAAGAAGGTATGAGATTTTGTGAAATACAGCGTAAGGGCAGGAAGTCGAAGCTTTCAGAAAGGACCCTAGGGCTGATGAAGAAACGACGTGAAAACCCACCTGTCACTTTGTCGGCAAAGCGGACTCTAAACCGAGAGATCAGTAAACTCGTACGACACGACCTCCGGTGCTCCAATACTCTTTCAATTGAAAGAGCGATCGAGGAAAATCGGGGGTCAAAAGTGTTCGTACAATCTCTTGGAAGAAGCCACCTGACAAAGTTGACTACAGAAAGTGGAGAAGTCGTTGCTTCGAAGCCGGCAGTCCTTTTGGAAGTGGAAAGCTTCTATGGCCGGTTATACGCTTCGCATGCATCTCGACCTGATCCCGAACATGAGGACTCTAGAGCCACATTAACACGTCACTACACCGAAGACCTGCCAGAAGTTAGCATTGACGAAATCGAGATGGCTCTTGGACAGCTGAAAAATGGAAAAGCCCCTGGAGAGGATGGCGTTACAACAGAGCTGCTGAAGGCCGGGGGTAAACCCGTACTAAGGGAGCTCCAAAAGCTCTTCAACGCTGTCCTGTTTGAAGGGAGAACTCCAGAAGCGTGGAGTAGGAGTGTGGTCGTCTTGTTCTTCAAAAAGGGTGACAAGACCAGGTTGAAGAACTATCGACCCATATCCCTTCTAAGCCACGTCTACAAGCTGTTTTCGAGAGTCATCACGAACCGTCTTGCGCAAAGACTCGACGAATTCCAACCACCGGAGCAAGCTGGGTTTCGGAGCGGATATGGCACCATAGACCACATCCACACAGTGCGGCAGATTATACAGAAGACCGAAGAATATAATCAGCCCCTGTGTCTAGCATTCGTGGACTATGAGAAAGCCTTTGACTCGATCGAGATCTGGTCTGTTCTGGAGTCTCTGCAGCGTTGCCAAGTAGATTGGCGATACATCCAAGTGATGAGATGTCTCTACGAAGCCGCCACCATGTCCGTCCAAGTACAGAATCAGCAAACAAGGCCCGTACCATTGCATCGAGGAGTGAGACAAGGGGACGTTATTTCCCCGAAATTGTTCACAAATGCAATGGAGGACATGTTCAAGACGCTGCACTGGAAAGGGCGTGGCATCAATATCAATGGCGAATACATCTCTCACTTGCGATTTGCAGATGACATCGTCATCATGGCAGAGACGTTGCAGGACCTACAGCAAATGCTGAATGACTTAGCTGACACTTCTGTACGCATCGGCCTACGGATGAACTTGGATAAAACCAAGGTCATGTTCAACGAACATGTACTACCGGAACCGATTGCGGTACACGGTGCCGTTCTCGAAGTTATTCAAAATTATGTGTACCTCGGGCAGACATTGCAGTTAGGTAGAAACAACTTCGAGGACGAGGTGAACAGAAGAATTCGGTTGGGTTGGGCAGCGTTTGGGAAGCTACGTCGAGTCTTCTCATCGTCGATCCCACAGTGCCTTAAGACGAAAGTCTTTAATGAGTGCGTCCTACCCGTCATGACATACGGAGCTGAAACGTGGACACTTACGGTACGGCTGGTCCACAAGTTCAAAGTCGCTCAACGTGCTATGGAAAGGGCTATGCTCGGCGTTTCTCTAAGGGATCGCATCAGAAATGAGGTGATCCGGCAGAGAACTAAGGTCACCGACATAGCGTACCGGATCAGCAAGCTGAAGTGGCAGTGGGCTGGCCATATTAGCCGCAGAACCGATAACCGTTGGGGAAAACGAGTTCTTGAGTGGAGACCGCGTCTCGGCAAACGTAGTGTAGGACGCCCACAGGCCAGGTGGAGTGACGATTTGCGCAAGATGGCTGGCAGGAGCTGGATGCGAGAAGCCCAAAATCGATCTAAGTGGCGTGCAATGGGAGAGGCCTATGTCCAGCAGTGGACTGCGATAGGCTGATGATGTGTGATGTGTGTGTGTGTGATGTTAGATAGCCCATTTATCGAGGAAGGCTATAGGCTATATATCATCACGCTAAGACCAATAGGATCGGAGCACCAATGAAGAATGTTTCAAAAACGGAGAAAATTTATTACTATTGAGAGACGCAGACAAAGTTGCGCGGGTCAGCTAGTACCTAAATATAATGTACGTTATCCGGTCAGACATTTTCCATCTCTAGTACGAACGTTCCAAAGCGTGGATATCATTCAGGACTTTTTGTTATTTATTAGTCTTTAGTATTAGTTCACGTCCCCACTACGTCATTGAGCTCCTCAATATTTATTTATAGTTTGTAAGTTAACTCCGGGCCTACACTAAGAACAAGTTGATACAGTATTGCGTACCTAATAAATATTTACTTTTAAAATTCTTGTGTATGTTAATTAATGAAATAAATGAAATCACGAGGCACACAGCCACAATCGAAAAGACTACATGCGGACCATGCAGGCCTATTATAGACTATACTATTCCCACCTACAGCCTTCCAGAGGTAGGCAGGTTGTATGAAATACCTAGAATTTGTTAAGTAAAAATTAGTTCCAGGCTAAGCCTATTGCCGTCAGATTAGGAGTATAATTAAAAGTAAAGGCAGGCAAGAAGGGAAGTCAAAAGATGAATAGAGATATTACTTTTGTGGCAGGAACTCGAGTAGAAGGAGCGAAAACTTTGTGTTGCTAGGAAGTCTGAGCTCTCTAACAGCTCAGACGGTGCACAGGTACTTCATCACAGTCTAGTCCCAGTGCCGTAACTAGAAGCTAGTGCTAGTGGTAGCTAAGCACAGGGCGCCAACCCAAAGGGAGCGTAGTATGAATGTAGCAATTTACTATTTATTTTTTTACTGCGGATGAAGCTATTATTACTATTTTCGAAAATATTTTCGATCGGGCGCAATTCCAAAAGATTAGGCAAAGTCAAAGCTTAGAGTAAAATAAAGTAAATAGTTCATTTGTAAACATTTACATGAGGTATTTACATGTAAGTGTTTATTACGCTACGCTAATGAATAAAGTAAAATGAAGTAATAAGGATTGGTGGTATCAAAAAGTAGATCTACAAAAGGGGGAGGGAATATAAGATGTAGTATTGAGAAATAAAACAACATGTGTTTCAATACTTACGTGAAATAATTCTAAGGATAGGGTAGGATTAAGTTTGTGTCAATGAATGAAACCAGAAACAAGTAAATAACCAGTATTTACACAGACTAAACATACAGTTAATATTTAAACTACGTATGTAGTATGGAATGATAACATAGCTTTGTAATAGGTAGACGTTCGTAGTTAATCTTTAAATATATATGTATCATTTTATTTATACTCTCTCATGCTTAATCATAAATGAAAAGAAAAAGTCCGAAGGTCTTTAGTTAACAGCTAAAGGTGCGAGACTTTGTAGTCGGCGCATGTGCGTAAAGTTTTCGACTAGTGCTTTGATATGGTTTAAAAGTAATTGAAAGCCACAATAATAAAAATACTTAGTATCAAGTGTAATGTACTACCAATACCTATTAACTTTTAAAAACACTGACTTAAAAGCACTTGAATTATGAAGGCTGTCATACTTTAATCTATGCAAAAAGTCTAATCTTTTACACCTTTCATTATAATTAGTAAAAGCAACATTAAGGGCCCTTTGTCTGACGTATATGTACTGTTATTGGGGTCGACTAAATGTTTTGCATTTTCGCAACGCACAGGTTTCCGCAAAGATACCGGAAATATCGAAATTCTAGGCATCGATATATCGAGCAAAAGACGAGCCAGTTGGTCGAGTGGTTAGTGACCCTCACTGCTAAAGCCAGAGGTTGTGGGTTCGGTTCCCAACTAGGATAAATATTTGTGTGATGAGCACGATTATTTGATCTGTATCTGGGTGTGGTTTATCTATAATATATATGTATTTAGTGTCCGTGTGGTGACGGATTAAGAATACAGAGTGTCACCACCCCTATTCATCCCGTGGGTGTCGTAAGAGCCGACTAAGGGAAAAAACTACGCAGGACAACAGCACTGCAGAGAGAAGGAAAACTTGACACAAACCCTATACCAACCCGTCTGGCCAGCGTGGTATAGTAGGCCAAAACCTCCTTTCTAAGGAGAGGCTTATGTCCAGCAGTGGACTATTAAAGGCTGTTGATGATGATGTATTTAGAACTATATAAATATATATATCAGTAGTCTGGTTACCATAGTACAGGCTCTGCTTAGTTTGGAATCAGACAGCCGTATGTGAGATGTGCGAGGTTATTATTATTATAAATAACATATGACTGGTACTTACAAATGTGAACAATTTTACAACTGGATCATAATAATCTGCAGCATAAACCTTATTTGTGTGTCTGGATGATACAGAAATAACTTGACCAATGTCTATTATTTGTAGCAGTATTAGCATTATTGTAAATACCATTTTACTAATATTTAGTTTATTCCAGGGTATGTCAGCCTCTTTACTGATACTCATCCGGTATACTTCAAGCACAGCTGCGAGACATAGATATCCACATGGTATCCACACAAGAACAGTCTTTTGGAAGCAGGGGGTGAGATCTGGATGATCTGTATTCCACGAAAGACTGTTATTCTAAAATGAGAATAATAAATTATATTAACCTTTACAATATTTGCAATTATGATCAGAAAGAAAATTAACATTTAAGTTAAGATTAGGTAAATTCATAGATAAACACTTAACGCAAAACTACTAAATAAAAAGAAGAGAAGTACAAAAACAGTCAAAACTATTTCCAAATTTTTGAACCTAAAACTAATTTTCTTAATTTAATGTCTTTAAAATATTTATATATACATATAGTATGCTAGCCAGCAACCGTGTAGTGGTTGACATCAGACATCTTAGAGGATAGGTACTACCAAAAATAACAAAGTTTCATATAAATTTCCAACCCTGATTTTGCACCCTTAGAAGTGGATTTTTTTAAATCCTTTCTTTGTGCACTTGCCTCTAAACCCAGCAGTTGCATTGATCGATCAGTCAGTGAATCATTCTGTCAGTTTTTGATTTTATAGTAATAGATTAAAACATGAAAACAACTCTTTGTACTTATTTAACAGAACATTTCATAAAATTATGAAATTTAGAATATGCCAAGTCTATGTATAGAAGCAGGAAAATTTCAAAAGAAAATTGAAGTAATCAATTATGACCGCTAGGCAATGACTAGTGAAAATACATTTACTACAACATAGTAAATAAATAAAATGAAATTTCATAATAGATAGTAGTCATAATAAAAAATTATGACTGCACTGATGGCGTAGTGGTTTAAGCGGTCGCCACTCCGTTTCCTACTACGCCGAGTGTTGTGGGTTCAAACCCAACATGGGACGACACTTTGTGTGATCCACAAATTGTTGTTCTGAGTCTGGGTTTTCTTTGTGTCCATTTCATGTATGTTTGTATAGTCCCCCTCATCACAGGATATATTCCTAATGATAAAAAAAGTTTATAAAAAGCTCATGTCACTAATTATAAACTTTAATGGTATGAAAATTTTATAATTTTCATAAACACAATTTAATTAGAAAAACATGTACTATGCACATTTTTAGTTGCACCAGGAGGATAATATGCACATAATTAATAATTTCATAATTTTATTAAGTAAAATATAATTTTACTGAATAAAATTGTGCAATTTCCTAAATTACATAGAGGTTTAAATAAAATACTATGACAAACATAAGGTACACCGAAATTTCAAATAAAATTAAGAAACGAGTACCTACTTTTAAAAAAAGTATGCGATTGCACAATTATAAAACTTTGTAAAAGTTTACTTTGAAAACTTATTTAGGCAAGATTTTATGACATACCCAAAATGTAGATCCACAAAAATAATCCATACTTGAGTTTGTAGTCATTATTAAGTAACACAAGAACAAAACTATTTCACAAGGTTTACTTTTAGCGCAAATGTTTATATATAAGCGCCGTTCCCTGAAGAAATATTTCCATTTCCACTGACAATCAGCTCCGAGCTGCCAACAAAAAAAAAAAATTTGTGTCAAATGTACATTAAGAACACAAAATATGCCGAAAAATATGCCAACCCTAAAAACTTTTTCAGTGATGTAAGCACTGAATCTTTCAAACCAGACGTTTGTTTCGTTTCGAATTCGAATTATATTGGTGCCTTTTGGTTCTTTATCCTAAGTCAAAATGTTCTGTTTACATTTAACATCTAGTGTGACATTTCGGCAATATAGTTTGAATTTTAATCACAAAATTTGTTAAAAAAAATACTCTAAATTTTTTAGTTAGTTTATTTTTAATGTCGATTTGTGAACACATCGCGTAAATATGTAAAAAATATATAAATTTATTCTGACACATTTTTTACACACCAAATTACACAAAGACACAGAAAAAATGATAGTGCTCATCATACAATATTTGTCCTAAGTGGGAAGCAAACCCACGACCTCTGGCTCAGTAATAAGGAATCGGGATCGCTAACCACTAGATCAATAGGTCAGTCGATCGAAAATCGATTATATATCTATAAATACATCAGTTTGATTTCATTTTAAGTGCAATACATACCTGTCTGCGTATTTAAAAAAGTACTACAATTATGCAACATCACTTCACAAATAAATTACATTTAGCCGAAATAATCTAACTTGGTATTACTAAAAAGACATTTCGTTCATTGCAAGTTGTGTTACCATTTTGCAAAATATCGAAACTACTATCTGTCAAGTCTCCGAGAATGTACTAACTTTTTTAAATTATTTTATTATAATACTCTGAACAATCTAAGAAAAGCATTTTGACAAAGGAAATTAGGAAACGCTACTTTTGTACGGTTTAAACTAAACACGAAACAATACTTATTTATGTTAAACAATTTTTAAATAAGCTTTCTTTATAGTACAGTTGAATTAATGTATTGGAATACGAGTATATTTTCAGTGAAATGAAATGAAATGATACTTTAATTGCAGAAATATGGTACATGGGATGTTTATAGTTATTAGAAGAGAATAACATATTTCGTCAGTCTGTTCTGACATGCAAAATTTGAAACGTACATGCAGTACAGTACAATTTAAATTTCTATAATAATTTAAACAATCGGATGAGGCTTTTTTACGAGGTGTCTTAAAACAGTTACTACTATGATTGTTTTTTAATTTTAGTGTTGCTACATTTTAATCGTTACGGAGTTAAAAAATTATCGTTTTTATACAAATCGTAGTTTAGAAAGAAACTTGCTAACCAGAGATCGTCTTCGTTATTATAAAATAGTTATTTATTAATTCATTCTTTTCATTTCATTTTATACTTTCGTAAAATTAAAAGGACCGGAATAAATAAATTCAAATATTTTTTTAAGATTTATTTATTAAAATAATAGAAGTTTATAATTTTAAATTAAAAAAATTAAGAGTGTGTACAGTAAATAAAATAAATCGTATCATATATATTTCAAAATATTTTATAAATACAAACTCATAAATTTTGCGAATCTAGTCCTAATTAACTCAAACCGATCGGTGCTCGATCTTTTGGCAATTAAAATGTTTTAACCGGTTTTTATTTTTTTTACTAACCGAAAGAAACTGAAACAAGAAATATTACCGTTACATCAACTCTAGTGCATTATTAATGATAATGTTCAGAACACGTTCACGTCTTGCGACTGCGTAGAATGAGTATCACCTCCAACTGATAATAGCTATTTATAACGGACGGCACCTAGTCCTTGCACCAGAGTAATCCAAGTGCAACCAAAACAAAAGTAAAATAAATTAAAGTCACCAGTTTCCCGGTTCCATTCCATAGCCACAATGGCCACTAATAAATTAAGCCCTATCTGAGAAATACACTCGCGATCCTTATCCTTGTTTGTATTCTTAGCTATATTTGTGGTAATGCAACATGCATGTATTACAACTTCAAAACGATGAACGATGCTTTGTATATATTGATGGTTCATAAATTCATTTGTAATCTGAATCAAATATTTGCACTATGGCTTTGTATACACCCCAACCCTAAACGTCAACTATCAAAATGCACCTTTTAAATTTTAATGGACATTTGGATTTGGTCCGTCAACGACGTGAGGGGTATATATGTTCTGTGACGACGTGCGTGCGCGATGGTCCTACGGGGAGAGTCGGACTCACAGAACATATATACTCCTAAGGTCGGAGTGACGGTGGCGGCGTTGCGGTACTCAAGATGTCAGCGTGTGGTGTAGTGGGGAAGGGTAATTGAAGCCGCGTTTTCACGCGTACCAATTTCTTGTTATACGTACCATTTTTCAGGGTCTTGTACCATGTACCAACTAAATGTTGTGTTGGTACGCAATAATACCAACTTCTGCATTGATCATACATTAAAAAAAACTTAATCTAACAATATGTAAGTTCTTGCTGTACGTCATAGTTACAACATTGATAATTGTGAAAAATGCTGTTCATAATGATATTTATTTTTGACCCATTGATTAACTTATTAAATTACATAATATAAAAATTCGGTCAATGTAATTCACGGTTTTTTTTTTATTTTGTAAAGACATTTTTAAGATTTAATAATAACAACGTCAACGAATAATGAGAATAATTATTATTAGTTATAAAGTTAAAAATAACAATTATTGTAATAAATTTATCCAACATGATTTTATTTTTTCAAATAATCAAGAATTTCTTCGTTAATTCAAAATTTCATTTAGAAGAAAATACAAAATTAACGATTTATTATTTTTGTTAATAAAAGGTTATTGTGAGTACCAACTTTTTTTTTGCAATACCAGCTTTTAGAGCCTTTTAGCGTTTCACCACAATCTAATATCCCAGTTTTCACGTTACGAGTAGGCTCGGGCGAGTAGCCTGCATTCAGATTGTAGTATACACGTTACGAGTTAAATGGCGTCCAAGTATAATTTTATCTCGTTGTTTCATTGTACTACATCCACAGATTAAGAGATATGTACATAAATTTTCAAGATGTCCGGTGATGACGATCTTCTACTGAGAGGCATAGTGGCAGATAGTCTATATAATATTTAAGAGCAACTTGCGCCCTACATAACCGGTTGATTAAGAAGGCTTACGTTATGACACACTTGCAGGAGGACTAACAAGACCTGGTACATGGAGACAGGAATCAAGCTCCAATCATGGAACTGATCTTGTGAACTAGGTTTCAGATCCTTATTTTCGGTCAGCAAAGAACGAAGAACTAGTTTCAATTCAAACACTATGAGAAAATGTGCAATGGCCAAGTAGCAGAATATTAAGAAATACCTGTGTTTTCTTATATTAGTAAAACATTACTATAAAACTACAGCAAATAAACGACTAATATTATTTATTTAAAATTTAACATTTCATAAAACGTATCTATTTTTGGATTACACACGATAGAAATCTATCTACCATTTTAAACCGTACCAATGATGGATTTTTGATTTTTAATAAAAGATCCTTTTGATTTTATTTTTAATAGCTTGCGAGTACGTATTCTGGATATTATTGAATTTGTTCACGTCTTGGTATCATAAGTTCAGGTATGTGAAAATTATTAATTATGCGTTGTATTGAAGCATTTCGCGCGTATTTGTTTTTATATTCATTTAGCCTAACATTTCACAACACTTTCTCTTCATAAAGCTCCAAAAAACGCATAGTGTCACGTTACCTCCACTATTTTATTTTGTTGACGCCATTTTGTTTACCTACATATTATTATAATCATCCCAGTGCACTCGAAAAAATAGAACTGCGTCTGAGTCCACTCATATCGGTATTCGAACCCGAGTGGACTCGGATGGCGTGTTTACACGATACGAGCACTTCTCACTTATAAGGGAACTCAAAAAATTATTTTGATCGTTGTTTGTTATTCATAGGTATATGTTGAGTTAGATTTGAAGTGGGTAGGTTCCTACTTACCTTCTTGCGTTTGAAACACATAGATCGTACCTACATACAGATGAGTAGAAAAAGTAAGTTGATTATTAAGTTGTAGAAGAATCTGCATTTATTTTTTTACTTTTTAGTGCATATTAATTTGTTTTGGAATAGTGTTTTTTGAAGTCGGTTTATTTTTTTGTTAAATTTTTTGTTTATTTCGTGGTGATTTAAACTTTTGAAAGTCACTATGACTTTTAAAAGTTTAAATCACCACGGAAAAAACTTTTACCACAAAAAGGATTGAAATTGATAGTTTCACGGAAGGTGTCATACGGAGAAAAATCATACAGTTTAATGTCAAAAGGTGTATGCCGTTGTTGAAAAAGATAAATGGGCATATCGTGCTTCGCCTACCCCATACCACCCGGATTTGAATCCTATTGAACTTGTATGGGAATACATTAAAGGACTTTAGTTGATTCCAACTTAGACAAAAAGATAAAGTATTTGTAGGATTTCTTTTCCCTATTTATTCGTATGAAAAGCGATTCGATTGTGACGACCATCTCAGAAAAAAATTAAGACGCGTATTATAAATCAGATAATGTATTTTCGACGATATATTGGACATATATATTTTTGTTTATTTTTAATTCAATCGATATCGGCGTAATCTGCTCGGATCCCCCACATCGAGTTAATATTAATAAAACATAAGTACATATTGTAAAAATATGTTTTATACTACTGACGTTGGTTTTTGAGTCTTTTAAAATTCGACTGAGTGAAAACGATGATGACGACGTCAACGGTGAAGAGGTACAAACAGAAAGTAGACACGAAAGTGATATGAAAATAAAATCATCAATCATCAACAGCCTTTAATAGTCCACTACTGGACATAAGCCTCTTCTTAGAAAGGAGGTTTTGGCCTACTATACCACGCTGGCCAGACGGGTTGGTATAGGGTTTGTGTGGGGTGCTGGGCT